GGGCACACGTGGGGACACCATCCTGGCCGACGAGATGGGGCTGGGCAAGACCATCCAGACCATCGTGTTCCTCTACTCGCTCTACAAGGAGGTGGGGACACGCGGGGACGCGTGGGGACACTGTGGGGACACTGTGGGGATACATGGGGACACACGGGCACACGTGGGGACACCATCCTGGCCGACGAGATGGGGCTGGGCAAGACCATCCAGACCATCGTGTTCCTCTACTCGCTCTACAAGGAGGTGGGGACACGCGGGGACACTGTGGGGATACATCGGGACACGTGGGGACACTGCGGGGATACACGGGGACAATACGAGGGGACACGGGCACACGTGGGGACACCATCCTGGCCGACGAGATGGGGCTGGGCAAGACCATCCAGACCATCGTGCTCCTCTACTCGCTCTACAAGGAGGTGGGGACACGCGGGGACGCGTGTGGACACTGTGGGGACACTGCGGGGACACCTGGGGACACCGCAGGCCCCTGCGAACACTGCAGGGACACATGGGGATACAGCAGGGACACCATGGGGACACTGCGGGGACACACTGTCCCTGCAGGTGACATGCTGTCCCCACGAGTGACAGTGACATGTGTCCCCATGGGTGATGCCCTGTTCCCATGGGTGACAGTGACACAGGTCCCCACAGGTGGCACCCTGTCCTTACAGGTGACAATGACACGTGTCTCCGTGGTTGATGTGCTGTCCCCATGGGTGACAGTGACATGGGTCCCCATGGGTGATGCCCTGTCCCCACGGGTGACATGCTGTCTCGACGGGTGACAGTGACACGTGTCCCCGCAGGTGACAGTGACACATGTCCCTGCGGGTGACAGTGACATGGGTCCCCATGGGTGATGCCCTGTCCCCGCGGGTGATACGCTGTCCCCGCGGGTGACAGTGACACAAGTCCCCACAGGTGACACCCTGTCCCCACGGGTGACGCCTTGTCCCCAGGGGCGACAGTGACGTGTCCCCGCGGGCGACGCGCTGTCCCCGCGGGCGGCAGCGACGCATGTCCCCGCGGGTGACACGTGTCCCCGCGGGTGACGCGCTGTCCGGGGGACACGTGTCCCCGCGGGTGACGCGCTGTCCCCAGGGCCACACCAAGGGCCCCTTCCTCGTCAGCGCCCCCCTGTCGACCATCATCAACTGGGAGCGCGAGTTCCAGATGTGGGCGCCCGCCTTCTACGTGGTCACCTACACCGGGGACAAGGACAGCCGCGCCATCATCCGCGAGAACGAGTTCTCCTTCGAGGACAACGCCATGAAGGGCGGCAAGAAGGCCTTCAAGATGAAGGTGAGCCCGGACGCCGGGGCCCCTCGGTGGGGGGTCTCGCCCGGACACCAGGGTCCCTTGAGGGGGTGTCACCCAGCCACCGGCGTCCCTCAGTGGGGGGTGTCACCCAAACACCGGGACCCCTTGGTGTGGGGTGTCACCTGGACACTGGGGCCCCTTGGGGGTGTCACCTGGACACCAGGACCCCTTGGTGGGGGGTGTCACCCAGCCACCGGGGTCCCTTGGGAGTGTCACCCGGACACCGGGGTCTCTTGGGGTGCACCTGGACGCCAGGACCCCTCGGTGGGGGGTGTTACCCGGATGCCGGGGCCCCTTGGGGGTGTCACCTGGACACATTGCTGTCCCTCGGTGGGGCTTGTCACCCGGCCACCAGGGCCCCTTGGGGCTGTCACCCAGACACCGGGGTCCCTCGGTGGGGGGAATCACCCGGATGCCAGGGCCCTTCGGGGATGTCACCCAGATACTGGGGCCCCTTGGGGGTGTCACCCGGACACTGGGGTCCTTCGGTGGGGGATGTTGCCCGGGCCCCTGGGCCCCTCGGGGGTGTCACATGGACACCGGGGTCCCTCAGTGGGGGGAATCGCCCGGGTGCCAGGGTCCTTTGGGGGTGTCACCCGGACACCGGGGCCCCTCGGGGATGTCACCC